TGGGAAGGCTGCCAACTGCATACAGCCAAATCTCCTGTATGTTGGATATACAACCCTCTTCCCCTTGACTCCTGGCTTATTTATACTGTATCTTCTTCTATCTTTGGTCTCCTATGAATGCATGCCTACGTATTATCCCAAGAGAATCTAGTTTAACGTAACCTGTTATGCTTTCTCCATTCAAGAATCTACAAAACTGGCCGGGCGCTGTGGCTCACGCCTGTAATCCTAGCTCTTGGGAGGCCGAGGCGGGCGGATTGCTCAAAGGTCAGGAGTTCAAAACCAGCCTGAGCAAGAGCGAGACCCCGTCTCTACTATAAACAGAAAGAAATTAATTGGCCAACTGATATATATATAAAAAAAATTAGCCGGGCATGGTGGCACATGCCTGTAGTCCCAGCTACGTGGGAGGCTGAGGCAGGAGGATTGCTTGAGCCAGGAGTTTGAGGTTGCTGTGAGCTAGGCTGACGCCACGGCACTCACTCTAGCCTGGGCAACAAAGTGAGACTAAAAAAAAAAAAAAAAAAAAAAAAAAGAATCTACAAAACGCATCTGAATGTCCTTTTCATCAAAAGGGCTTGATTTTATAGATATTTTCAAGATATCCTATTTGACAATTCTTGGGCATCCCTACCCCCTAAATTGGTTTTAATATGTCAATTTCATAACCTTGTCTATTTGTAGAAATTGCATGTTATTAACTCTAAGAATCTTCTATTGCAATCATCTCTATGTTATGTGTTAATTTCTTAATTTTTCTACACCTAATAGATGGACCAGTGAGCCTACGGCAGATGTAAAACCTGTATTTCCTTTTAGAAACTCAACTTCTATACTGTGGTAATAAGTTTGGATTTTCTTCTGGAAGAACAAGGAACTTTAGCAAAGTTAATTGATTCATGCTTTAGGTTCAAAGAACCCTACACAAAATTTGACCTTTTGTGTCTATTGCTGGAAATTAAGAGTTAGATTAAGCACTTTATCTTCATTCTTTTTAGGAAACAAATGGACGAGGAGTCATGGATGGTGGAAGGGAAGTACCAAGTTCCTACTTAAATTCTGGGAGGTTTATGGAAGTCAGAGAAGCCCATGACTAGAATACGGAGTTTGTTGCTCTCAGACTAGTTATGAGTTTAACAGGTGAGTCAGCTACCCCAGTCTCTACTGTTGAAATATCATCCTCCCCTCTCAGCCTCCTCGAATTCTTAATTTCACCTTCAGAATAAAGTTGGAGAGGCCCTTTTATACTATCTAATTCAGTCTTCCCAGTTTTAGACATCAGGAAACTGAACTCCAGCAAGGGCAGGGATTATACTACTGGGAGGCATATGTCACCCAAGTTCTAGAAAAATTGCAGTGACTTCATTTATCCTCCCCTCAGCCCTGAAATGAGAGGCAGCTCTTGGGGAGCTGTTACCCAAAAGATTGGGGTCCATCTGCCTGGCACTCTCCACAGAGAACACAGGTCTTGATCTGTAGGGTTTAATCATTTGCAGCATAAGGTGAGAACACCTGGAATGTTCTCCAAAGCAGCATCTCCCCAAGGGAAAGTGGTGTGGGGTTTTTGTGGGGTAGCAGAGAGAGAAAAGACGTGCCATCCCACATGGGGGCATAGTTGTCATGCTGGCACGCAGGTTGCATGTCATAGCAACGAAATGATAGCAAAGGAGCCTGGTACCTATGAAATGCACACACCTGCCCTCCCAGGCTCCCTGGTCGGAGTCTCTCCATGGCCTGGGCAGGCCAGCTGGACAAGTCACATGGAGTCACACGCTTCTCCACAAGTCCCCACTGAAGAATCAAGTCCCATAGTCATTACTGTCCCCATGCTAAGCTTTGTCTATATTTTCCTTGATTTTAACAAATTAAGCCTTGTTTTCATTCTTTTGGCCCTGCTTAGTGGAGAACCACTGGAGGGGGTGATTTTATTGTGTGTAGGGAAGAGATAGAGGAATGTGGGTGGAGGTTGATGGGGAGATTGGGGGAGAATTTCAGACAAGGTTTTATTTGAAGGAAGGATTGCATTCTTATTTTCCTCCCATTGGTAGCGACTCCGCCCTTGAGTTTCAGTGGCAGTGGCCTCAGGCTACATGTCACTATCAGCACGAAAGGTGGTATACACACAGAGGAAGCCCTTGGGTACAGAAAAGGCTTTTAGAAGTAACTTTACTAAATTGCTAACAGGCATTGAGGAAGTGTTAGTGTCCATCCCGGACTATAAGATAAATAGAAACCACGTAGGCCTTTATCTTTGATTTAGAAGTAAAACAGCAAAGACCTCAAGAACTAAGCCAGATGTAACCGATGTGTTCAAACATGATGTCTCTAAGCTGATGGGGATGGGATTACATTAGAATGCACATGTGCAGAAGAAAGAAATGAGGGTAAAAACACAGGTCTTGGTCAAACCATATAAAAAATTTAAAAGTAGATAAATATTTAAGGAAGAGGCTTGGGGGGGGTGGTTAAAATGGTGAATGACAGACCTTCATTTTAGGAAGATGGGAGATGTGGGGTGAATGTTGGGGGAGAGACCCTGGTTGGGAAACTTTTCCATTACTCCTGGGGCTGTCATGAGGCGCTGAGCTTCCAATTTCTCACCTGCCTCCTATACTGTGCTGTTATGTATACACGGGCAGAATGGAATGTTCCCCACCTCCTATTCACTCATCAAATTGCTTATTTTTGATTCTGGAAACACTCTCTAAAACAGATCAGATTGTTTCCAGACTGTATTCCCTCCTAAAGAAGCTATTAGCCTGACGAAGCATAGGGGACAAGATGTACTTAGCCTTTCTCAATCGTACTACCCCATCCGTTCTAGAATGAAATAGAAGCAAAACATGCCGGTAGCAGGAACTTGGAGTTTGCTATTCCCTCTGCCTAAAATACTTCCCTCTCCCTTCTTTCAGTTCTCTGCTCAAGTACCACCTCCTTCCTGACCACCTTTCCTAAAATATCACCTTTCCCACTTGATTCTGGCTTATTATTTTTTTGTTTTATTTGAACACTATCACTCGAGAGTATCTAAGTTCCACAAAGGCACGGCCTGCAATGGTGGTGTTTTCCAGGCTGCCCACAAATGTGCTGGCAAAGTGTCAGGTGCCCCGAAACTTACTGGGGGAATGATCTATGCACAGAAGGGGATGGTGATTGCCAAAGCCTTGTGTAACCAAGTCTGTGCTCAAAATCACACTCCCTTCCTTAGCAAGAGTGTGTACCTAGCTGGGGGCCAGATTGGTGAATGGGTAGGGCAAGAGCACAAAGCAGTTCCTGCTCTACTCTCACGGGTCCCTCAAGTCTTCTTGGGATCCCTTGAGTAATCTTGCAAAGATTTCATCCATTTAATGGGGATACATACTTCATTTGGTGGATGGGAGGATTCAAAATGAGTTTTTGCCAGGTGCCGTGGCTTATACCTGTAATCTCAGTGCTTTTGGGAGGCTGAGGTGGGAGGATCACCTGAGGCCAGGAGTTCAAGACCAGCCTGGACTTGAAGTGAGACCCCATTTCTACAAAAAATTTAAAAATTAGCAGGGTATGGTGGCATGTCTCTGTAGCCCTAGCTACTAGGGAGGTTGAGGAGGGAGGATCACCGGAACCCAGGAGTTTGAGGCTGCAGTGAGCCATGACGACACCACTGAACTCCAGCCTGGGCAACAGATTGAGACCCTATCTCCAAAAAATAAAAAATAAAAAGTTTTGATGGCATCTAAGGTATGAAGGGCTTGTGTGGCAGTAGCAGGGAATGACACTCAGACCAAAACAGATACCAGCCTGATGTAAAAGGCTCTTTCTATGCTGTCCTGAATGTTTGTGTAGCAATGAGAAGTTTTTATTTTTAAAGAGGAATTTGGCTTTATTTCTCTTGATTGGGCAAAAATAGAGAGTTTTAACTCTCAGCAACCAAATCTTAATCCTCAGAGAGGAAGGGTTTTGCATAGAAGGCAGTGGAGAATCATTGGGGGGGAAAAAGTAAAACACACCAAACACCAGTTCTGTGTTAACCAAGGCTTCCCAAGAAATAGTTGGACTTATGATGCAGCTGAGATTCAGTGGGTTGCCAGACACCCAGCATCTGCATGTTGTCTGCTAGGTGCTCACCCCTCAGCCTCCTAATTGCTGCTTTCGGAGGTGTTAGCTAAAAAGAGCCCTGTTGCTTTTCCTCCATTCTGCCTCCGTTCCCTAGAGCAAGTTCCCTCATCTAGGTGGCAGGCACTCAACAGTGTGAATATGAGCCACCGCTTGGGAATTGAAATTTGAGCGAGGCACAGGCCCAGCTAAAGCTTTGCAACTCCAAGTGTGGTCCATGAAGCATCAGAACTGGCATCTCCCGGGAGCTGGTTAGGAAATCATTTTCAGGGCCTCACTCCAGATCTACTGAATCACAATCTGCATTTGAAAATGATTCCAGTGATAAAGCCTGCTCATTAAAGTTTGGCTTCAAAAAGAGAGAAAAAGGTGATTCTAGAACAAAATAGCACGGGAAGAGAATCCGTGGCTGTCGAGTTCGTTCCATTGCACTATGTCCAGTGCTTACCGAACTGAATGTTCCCACCTCCGAACAGCAGATTTTAAAGACGAGATTCTGTTTATTTAAAGGCACCCTTAAATCGACCACTTGGAATTAAACCAGCCCTGCTGGGGGTTTCTGTCTCCCCATGGATTTTAAAATCTTCCTGTGATTTTTAAGCCACCACTGCTATTAATACCAAAGGCAAAGACTTCCAGTCTCACCCTCAAGTGGAAACTGGTGCTTCTAGTTTTTTCAACAACAGACTTGGCTTTGCACAGAAAACAGCACGAACCTGAAAACAATGCAATCAGAGATTTAAGTGGAGCCCGCTGGCTTCTTCTAGAAATCTTATGCTAAGAGGTGCAAAGATAGGAGTGCTAGATTTCAGACACTGCCTGGCAGCCAGGAAACTGTTAGTAAAGAAAGCTTAAAACTCCCAAAGGTTGCCCTGAAGACAAAAAAGCTTTTGTGGGTATATTGAAACTGTTGTTTTAAAATTTTATTTATAAATAAACAATATGTACATATGTACTTTAAACCTAATGCGATTAATAGGTTTCATTTTGTACAAAATATAGTTTTGTACAAAATATAGACTACAGTCTATAGTTCTCTGTGTCCATGATGAGGTAGCCAAGGAATGGAATAGTAGAGTGTTAGGCCCTTTATATATCCTTCTGGCTTCTGCAAGAGAAACTCTTGAGTGACCCCAACTTTCACACCAAAAATAAGTGAGAAAAAAACCATAAATCCTATTTATGCATGAAGAAGTGTAGACATGAGTTAATCAGGTTATTTCATTCCATAAAAGCCACTAAAGCTGCTGGTAATTTGCATGGCTCTAAGTTTAAGAGCCTCATTCAAACATAGCAAGAAATATATTGGCCTCTTGACAGTCTGCATAATAAGGAGTTAAAACAGCAGAAAAACACAATCGTTATATTGACGCCAGATTCATCAGTATCTTAGAATACTGTTGTTTCAAGGTGTTGAGTTGTTTTTGAGCCTCTACTTGCCGATTGCAACTTTTTTGTTGTTACTGTCTCTGGTCCACACGATGCGAATGCCACCCTTTAATCTTCTTCAGCAAGAAATATGACAGGCTTGTCACTCCGTAAGAGGACCCCGATGCCCCAGAGGGGAAAACTAAACGCTATTAAGAAGAAAACCGAGCCCAACCTGAACGAACTGCCCGAGGAGTCTAGTCTGGCCACAGGAAAGGAAGATCGCTCTCCTAACCAGTCACAGGAAGGTGCCTCCCGGGTTCCAACTCCGAGCCAGACGGGTCTGTGCAGGCCGAGTCCTTTGTCGCCCAGCGCTCCCGACCCGGGGGGCCTGGGGTCACCGTCTACAGGTCGGAGTCGCAGGGCAGCGAGCTCTGGCAGGGCCGGGTGCTGCGCGAGGCGCCGCCGAGGGAGCCGGCCGGTTGCTCCCGCTCCCCGTCCAGCACGTCCGCGGGGTTGGTGTAGGACTTGGGCGGCGGCCGCGGCATCGGGAAGCCCACCTTGGCCTTGGCCCCGGTCCCCTGCTGCGCCGGCGGCGGCCGGTGCTGGCCCCCGCTGTAGTACTTGATGGCGGGCGTGAGCGCGGGCTCGGGCCAGTCCACGAACACGGTGCTGATGCTGCTGCGGCGCGCGCCGGCCGGGGCCGCCTTGCGGCGACGGCGACAGTGCTCCTCGCACCAGGGCGCGAAGCTGAGCGCCAGCGAGAAGCCGCCCAGCAGCAGCAGGCAGCTGCCCAGGTAGCCCAGCACCAGGCTGTAGCTGACCTGCGCCGTGACCGGGCTGGCCGGCGCGGGCAGCACCGTGCGGTCCTGCAAGAAGTGGTTGTACCAGGACACCGGGATGAGGCTGAGGAGGCCGGCGGCGAAGAGCACGACGCCCGACACGCCGGCCAGCGCGAAGTGGGGCTCGTCGCGCCAGCAGCGCACGCCCAGCGTCGCCAGCAGCAGCCCCAGGGCCGTGGTGGCCAGCGACGTGACCATGAGGCCCCGCGCCACGCGCACGGGCTGGGCCTCGAAGTAGCTCCACTCGTCCGGCTGGCCGCACTCGCGCTCGCGGCTGCTCTGCTCGCGACACATGTCCCACAGGCCCTGGTACAGCACCACGTCCACCGGCTGGTCCAGGAAGCCCTTCACCAGCCGCCACCCGGGCGCCAGCGTGCTCGTCAGGTTGAGCAGCAGCCCGCAGGGCGCCAGCACCATGCCCAGCGTCATCGCCACCGGCGTCCGCATCCCGGCCAGCCGCGCGGACGGCGTCCCCGCCCCTCTCCGCCGACGCCCCGCGCGCCCCCGGCCCCGAGCCCCGAAGTGCGCCCGGCTCGCTCCCCGGCCGCTCTTTGTCTCCGGCGGCGCGGACCGTCCCAGTCCCCAGTCCCGCGCCCGCCGCCCCGCCCTCCCGCTCGCCCCAATCGAAACCAGCCCGCGGGCGGGTCTGACCGAAACCGCGGGCCCAGGAGCGGGCGCGCACAGGCGGCCAAACCCGGCCGGGTGGGAGGGACGGCAGGGACGCGACGTGCGCCCAGGAAGCGGCCGGGCCACCTCCCGCGCGGCGGGGACACCGCACCCCGCAGCCCGGCCCCGGCCCGAGCAAAGGTCGCCCCGCCCCGGGCTCCCGGGCCGGCCGTGGGCGGGGAGGGAAGAGGCGGCGCCACCCGGAACGCCGCGCCCGTGCAGGTGGCTGCGCCGCCTCCGTGCTGCCTCGCGGATCTTCCAGAAGGTCTTCTCCCGACCCCGACGGTCGACCCCGCGGATACAGCTGCTCCCTCCACGCCCAGCAGGTCCCCGATGGCCACCAGTTTTGCTCTGTGACTTGCAGCCACTGGCAGCTGAGCTCCCGGCTGCTGCAGACGCCCCGGTGGGCGCGCGGGAGCCCGCCTGGTCCTGGAGCCCGGGACGTTGCGTTTCTCTAATAAATCTTGTTTCATTTGCTTAATAAAGGCTCCTCCGTGCGGATTGAATTTGACTCAGAAGAATCAAAGCGAGTGTATTTCTGGGTTGAAGGGTTCCAAGAGGATTTCCTTTCCCCTTTTCAGCCTTGTGAAAGACGTTGAGGTGGGGAAGGGGAGGGGTGTTATTGGGTGTCCCGTTTAACACACTTGGCGGCTTTATCTAATTCTATAGGGTCCTGTGGCCTTTCATCCTCTTGGGGCTATTTGACAACTTTATAAATCATAGAAAATCTGTAGTATTGCAAATGACTTGTTTATAGGAATGCAAATGAGTTTGTCCCGGTGGAATGTAATTGATTACTGAGCAGTGGATAGACCAGTTTGGCATTAATTTGTCAATTTTAACATTGCTGTTTGCCTATACTGGTGTTCTTTGCTTTTTTTTTGTAATTGAGACCGGGTCTCGCTATGTTGCCCAGGCTGGACCCGAACTGTTGGGCTGAGGATCCCTTTACCCTCTGTCTCCCTCCGCCCCCCAATAGCTGGGACTACAAGTGGGTACCCACCCACAAGGCTTCTTGGTATTTTCTTTTGAACTGGTTTTTAGCATATTGCTTTCGTTATTAAATAATGAGTTAAACAACATCTTTCACACTTGTCAGTTTACATTTGTGTGAGAATCGTAATTTTGGCTTTTCCAAAAATTATCCTTTAACAATATTTTTCTGCATTTTCTATGTCTTTACAATGGAAATGTATTACCTTTATAATTGACAAATAGTTTTAATTTTAACCAAAGTTGATTAAGCATTGGTTTGATTATACAATACCAGGGAGAGCCATCACTACTTTTAAAAAATTTTTTTAAGTTTAAAAAATTGTGAGAACATACACATAAAGTCGACCATCTTAATCATTTTTTTTAGTGTAGAGTTCACTGATATTAAGGACAGTCACACCGTTGTGCTACCATCACTCCTATCCATCTCCAGAACTTTCTTCCCAAACTGAAACTCTGTACCAGTTAAAAAAACAAACAAACAAAAAAACCTCCCCTCTCTTCCCTTCCCCCAGACCCTGACAATCATCATTCTATTATATTTTTTGTCTCTATGAATTTGACTACTTTAGGAACCTCATACAACTGGAATCATGCAGTATCTGTCCTTTTGTGATGGGTTCATTTCACTTAGCACCATGTCCTTCAGGGTCATGTATGTTGTAGCATGTGACAGCTTCCTACCTTTTAAAGGCTGAATAATATTCCACTACCTGGATATACGACATTTTGTTTATCCAGTCATCTTTCAATGGACACTTAGGTTGCTTTTACCTTTTGGCTATTGTAAATGATGCTGCTCTGATAGAATACATCATTTGAAAGTGTCTTTGTCATTTTCTGGGTTTTAATTGATTCCTGCTTTAGACTGCCAATCTCCAGTGGTGGCACTTCCCCACTGCCTCTGCCTTGGTCCACACCATTCTCTCATTTTTCTCCTTAAGCCAACTCCTAACTGGCCTCCTATCCTTGGCCTTCCTGGGAGCCACAGCCCCTCACAGCTGGCCTGCATTAACCCTTTACAGCCCAGCCCAGCCCTGCATTCCAGCACCATCTTGCCCTCCCTTCCCTCCACCTGCTCACACTATAATCCAGGATAACTGGATTTTTTTCTCCTCCTTTCCCCGAAGCATTGAGTTCCTTTTGGCTTCTGGATCTTTGCATCCACCCTTTTCTTTTCCTAGTGCCCTGCCTAATACTTCCCAACTCCAATGTATCCTTCAGATCTTTGCTTAAATACCATTTTTTCTCTGGGAGGGTTTCCTCACCCCCTAGGATCAAGTCATTATAGCTTTCCCTCTTGCATTCTTCCACAACCCGCTTCTATCCGAGCACCCGTCGGTTTCTTATACTTCAGTCACTTAGTTTCTAGCTCATCTGTCAGTTCTCTGAGGGCAAGGACCATGTTCATATTGTTCTGTTCTGTCCCTAAAACGCATCTTGGTGCCTGGTCCTCCACGGCCACTCAACAGATCGATGTCACGTCTTTCTGCCCTGTGTTCTTCCACAGAGTACCTACAGGATTGTCCTATAGATCAGCGGGTCCCCAACATTTTTGGCACCAGGGATCGGTTTCATGGAAGACAATTTTTCCACAGATGGGTGGGAGGGGATGAGGGTGGAGGAGCTGTGCAGCCCAGTCCCTAACAGGCCACACACCCGTGTAGGTGGCCCGGGTATTGGGAGCCACAGCAGATGACTGTCTGGCCGAAATAGATTGTTGCATGCATCTCAGTAAGCAAGCTTGTTTGAATGTTTCTTTTTCTTCAACATAGGAGACAATGAGATATGGGATTGTTCCCCATATTATGACAAAGATATGTAGGTCTGTGGGGGTCACTTTCTACGGCAATAAGAGAAAGGGGATGGTGCTAAGTATAGCATCCGATTATAGAGCTGACCTCTTTGTTGCACGAGCTTCTGAGTTCATTCTACGGCTGAATGAGAAACAAAGCATGAATCATAGCGCAGCAGGAACGAATTAATGCTGGGGTTAGTACCTGCCTGTGTAAACTGATCCCTAGTTCCTTTAAAATAGCTTTCTTTTCTGAAGAGTGGTCCTGTGGTAATGCAAGCTGATTATGCCACAGGTTTTGAAACAAATAGCGGGTGCCCAGCAACCAGTTCTGAAAGGACAATTCTAATAACCCGGTAGCCTGTATAGGCTGGGCCTCAAATACCACCTAGCACAAAGTTGCAACCTTCTGCAACAACTTCGTGTTGGGAAATCACATGACAAATTTTGGCAGCTCAAGAGGGTCTGCTAGGTCAGTTTGCTGTAACAAAATGTCACATGGTCCCTATAACAGGTGTTTGTATTTTACTCTCTCCAAAGAACAAGGCCCTGAACACTATTGACATTCTTTTTATATATATATTATTTTATATCATTTAATTTTATCTTTTTTTCTATTGTCTTTTATAGGCAAATTCCTTTATATTGACATTCTTTCATGGTAAATCCAATTCAGTGGGTTATAGAATAAAAATTAAACTATGAAAGAAATTTAACTATGATCTTTTTCTATTTTTAAATAGCATCGAAACAGCCCAAATTGAAAAAAGCCCCTTCAACATAGCATTAGCCGTCCTTGTTGGCAGTTAGCCCAGCTGCTGTCTTTCTAGCCATGTGTGCCTAATTGTAAAAACTAAATAACCTTTGACATCCAATTTAAAGTAGCCCAGTTAGTACCATAACTGTAATTTGTTTTCTTTATAGAATTTATCACTACATAACAATATGTTAATAAATATATTGTTTCCCCCACTGCATTGCAAGTTGCAAAGCTGAGGGATGTCGCAGGTCTTGTTTGTGGCTATATCTTAGCTCCTGGAATCATGCCTAGCTCGTAACAGGTGCTCAGTAAGTTTTTGTAAGATTCCTACGTGGTAACACAAAAGGAGAATATAGCATACATCATTTTTTTTTTTTGAGCATGCTGAATTTGAGGTACATTTTTTAAACATTGTAATAAAATACACATAAAAATCAGTCTTAGCCATCGTAAAGTACAGTTCAGTGGCGTTAAGTTCATTCCCTTTGTTGTGTAACCCAATTTCCAGAATCTCTTGTCATGGTTTCAGGATGGTTCAAGTGCAGTACATTTATTGTGTGCTTTATTTCTATTATTAATGCGTTGTAATATATAATGAAGTAATTATACAACTCACCGTTATGCAGAATCAGTGGGAGCCCTGAACTTATCTCCTTGCAACTAGATGGTCCTGTTGGAATCCTGTTGGTTTCGGCACCAAAGACGTCAGGGTAGGAGTCCACCCTTGGTTCTTGGTGAGCTCTTGGCCGAAGAATAACCAGACACACCAAAGTGTCAAGTCCAGGCTATTATCCCAATCCTCTGACTTGTTTCTTGGAAAACAAAACAAAACAAAAACAACAACAACAACAAAAAACCACCAGCCAGGCCAGTACAATGGAGTATCCTCAAGCAAGGAGCAGTTTTACAAAAGCAGCGCTTTATTATAGGAAAAAAACGGGTCTGTCTCCACGAGCACAGAGAGACCAACTCACTGACTCGCTGACTTCTTCTGATTTCTCAGATTGTTTCCTTTTATTAGCCCGATGTGGAAGTGGGCTTTGGGGAGTGTAGGAGTTAGGCAATGATCAACAGGTGTCCTCAAAATTTTATCTGCCTATACGAGCTCCCGCTAAGAAAGTCCACCTGGGGGTGGGGTTGAAGTGCAATGCAGATTCAAGCTAACGGCACATTAATTACCCTTAGGTGACTCTAAGTCACTTTCTAAATCTCACTCTGCCTGGGCTGGGGAATTCCTAGATTGATAAAGCATTCCCTCCCTCCCCAGG